TGTATGTATGTGTGTGTGTGTGTGTGTGTGTGTGTGTGTGTGTGTGTGTGTGTGTGTGTGTGTGTGTGTGTGTGTGTGTGTGTGTGTGTGTGTGTGTGTGTGTGTGTGTGTGTGTGTGTGTGTGTGTGTGTGTGTGTGAACACATATTGACTTGTTCAGTTTTGAAGTGAGGAGCTATGAGATAAATATTTGTAGACTGAAAACTAACTGAAGAAGCTCTTGTGTGGTTTATTTATAAGTTTGCAGCACAAAGTTTTAGTCAGGGAGAGAAGATTTGAATTCAGTTCATTTCTAAATCTCCAAGTCTCAACAGAAGTGTTCTCAGGGACTGAACAGAAACGTTCATATATAAAATAATAATTTAACATTATTTATCTGAGGAGCAGCTTTGAGTTTAACTCCATCACAGAACTCTCATCTTGAACAAGCATGAATGCGACAGTGGAAAGAAAAACTCCCTCATGAGGAAGAAACCTTTAGCAGAACCAGGATCAGGACAAGAGGACCATCTGCTTCGACCGGCTGGGTTTGGTAGGAATAGATACACAATGGCAGGTCAAGAATCACATGTTAAGATAGAAATAGTATCAAATGAAAACGATTAAATTTTAACAATTCATTTAAGGAAATTAGGTCAGTTTGTCCTCTAGTAGTCTAAGCCTATAGCAGCATAACTAAGGGACAGCTCAGGAAACCCAAGGCGACCCTAACTATAGGCTTTAGCAAAAAGGAAAGTCTTAAGTCCAGTCTTAAAACTGGACAATGTGTCAGCCTCATGGACAGAAACTGGAAATTGGTTCCACAAGAGAGGAGCCTGAGAACTGAAAGCTCTGCCTCCCATTCTGCTGCTGGAAACTCTAGGAACCACAAGTAAACCTGCAGTCTGAGAGCGAAGTGCTCTGTTAGTAAAATATGGAACTATAAGATCTGTAATATAAGATGGAGCTAGGTTGTTGAGAGCTTTGTAGTTTAGAAGTAAGATTTTGAATTCTATTCTGGATTTGACAGGGAGCCAATGGAGAGAAGCTAAAACTGGAGAGATATGATCTCTCCCAGTAACTCCAGTTAAGACTCTGGCAGCAGCATTTATAAATCTACTACAGATTAACTTATGAAATGAACACAATTCAAGATGGTTGCCAAAGCAGTGACCTCAATGATGAATGAATTCTGTATTGTTGCCCGCGCGCTCAGTCCATGTGAACACCTGGAGTTGTTTACCTGTGCGCCGCACCAGCAGACCAGGAGGAGCTGTTCTTCATAACCTGCGCCCGCTGGCGCGCACGTCTCCATCCACGGCTGTGCCTGTGTTGGACAATATCAGGAGGTGTTTAATCAATGCAAGGTCTGTTTCCAACAAGACGTTTATCCTCAATGACTTTTTTAAAGATCAGGAGTTGGATTTTCTGTTCGTCATGGAATCTTGGATTTCTGATGGTGAGTCCAGCGCCTTGGTGGAACTACTACCCTCGGACTGTCTGTTTCAATGCCCCGCGGCCATCAGGACGGCGTGGGGGGGGGGGGGGGAATTATTAACAGTTTTTAAAGAAAACTTGGCCTGTAAACAGTTGTCCATCCCGGTGTCCCGCGCCAGCTTTGAGCTGAGCGCCTTTGAACTCGGACACTGTCCTACGGTTCTGTGCGCGCTCGTCTACCGCCCACCTCGTTCTAAGGACTTCATAAATGAATTCTCTGACTTTTTGGCTGATATCACACAGAGATACACTCACTTTTTGTTTATTGGTGACTTTAATTTGCATGTGTGTTGTCAGGAGAAGCCCTTAGTGAAGGACTTTCTGGATTTATTGGACTCTTTTGGCTTAGCTCAGCAGGTGAACGGTCCCACCCAAGAACACGGTCACACGCTGGACCTCGTTTTAACACGCGATGTCTCCGTTTCTAATTTGAAAATAGGTGACAATGTTTTTTCAGATCACATGCCTGTATTGTTTGACCTCACCCCCCCTTGTCATACTGGTAAGACGTGCGTTCCTGCACGTACGCGTTCCATTAACCGTTTCACTGCTGCTCGTTTTAATTAAGGTTTTAATTCTGAGAGGATCGAACAGTTCCCGGTGTCTCTTACCACTGAGGAGCTAACCTCTCAGTTCAACTCTGCCTGTTTAAACATTCTGGACCGTGTTGCTCCCCTTAAGACCAGAAAAACGAAACTTAGATCAGAGCCTTGGCTAAATGACGTCACGCGAGCCGTTAGGCGGCAGTGTCGCAGAGCTGAACGAAGGTGGAGGAAGGACAGGCTGCAGGTTTCTTTTCAAATGTTAAGGGAGAGTTGGCGTCACTATCAGAAAACCGTTAAAGCTGCCAAATGTAAATTCTTCTCTGATTTAATTGTCTCCAAATCCCACAACGCCCGAGTTCTTTTCTCCACCCTGAACTCAGTTCTACACCTCAGTGAGCCTTCACCTCTGGAAGCCTCAACTGAGCTGTGTGAAAATGTCCTCCATTTCTTTTTAGAAAAAGTGGCAAACACCTGGGCACTCATTTCTCCACCAGCTCATGATCTGTCCATCCCATCTCAGTGTGTGGCTGTGTTTGACCACTTTGAGCCCATCTCTCTGTCCTCTCTGGAGCAGGTAATGTGCAGCACGAAGCCATCTGGTTCCCCCTTTGATGTGGTCCCCCCTCGACTACTAAAGGAAGTTTTTCCTACCCTGGGTCCTTTTATCCTCGCTATTCTAAATAGCAGTTTATCCTCAGGTGTGGTGCCAAAGACTTTTAAACATGCTGCTGTCCAGCCCCTCCTGAAAAAACCTAACCTTGACCCCTCAGTCATGTCCAACTTCCGGCCTGTCTCCAGACTCCCATTCACCTCTAAATTACTGGAAAAAATTGTGGAGACTCAGTTGAAACAGTTTTTGGGGGATCACGCTATCCTAGAGTTATTACAATCTGGCTTCAAATCTCTCCATAGCACTGAAACTGCTCTACTGAAGGATTTTAACGACATTTTCATATCCACAGACGCAGGTGATTCTGTGCTGCTTGTCCTATTGGACCTTACATCTGCTTTTGACACCATCGACTACAACATCCTCATTTCTAGACTGGAGCAGTGGGTGGGCATCACAGGGTCAGCCCTTAAATGGTTTGGGTCCTACCTCTCTGACAGAACCTTCTGTGTCAATATCAAAGATTTTAGTTCGGCATCGACAGCGCTCCAGTGGGGGGTACCACAGGGGTCCATCCTCGGTCCCCTTCTCTTTTCTTTATACCTGCTGCCACTAGGTGCTATCTTCCACAAACACAGCATACCCTTTCATTTCTACGCCGATGATTGCCAAATTTACTCCCCCTGAGGCACAGAGGCACACGCTCTATTCAGCCTCTTCTTGACTGCCTGGCTGACATCCGGGACTGGATGGCTTTAAACTTCTTAAGCTTCAATGAGAAGAAGTCTGAAGTCATGCTGTTCCATCCCAGTGGCTCACTCATGAACCATGACATTGACCTTTTCTCTCTAGCCCCGCTAGAGAAACAAAAGGTCACTAATCTGGGGGTGATAATGGACCCGTCCTTAAAACTCAACAGTCATGTAAACATGATGGTCAAATCCTGTTTTTTTCAGCTGAGACGGCTGCCTAAGCTGAAACCTATACTCTACAAGAAGAACCTTGAGACAGTGATCCACGCCTTCATAACATCTAGGCTTGATTACTGCAATTCACTTCTGTTTGGAATCAGTCAGTCCTCCATTGCTCGTCTACAACTGGTCCAAAATGCTGCAGCCCGATTTTTAACTGGTACAGGCTATAGAGAGCACATCACGCCAGTTTTGGCCTCCCTGCACTGGCTACCCATTCACCTTCGGATCCAATTCAAAATTCTCATGTATGTTTTTAAATCACTGAACAGTTCCGCCCCATCCTATCTCACTGATCTTCTGCAGCCATATGTCCCACCGCGCTCTCTGAGGTCAGCAGACCAGATGCTTCTCTCAGTCCCAGAAACCCGTCGTAAGCTCAGAGGTGACAGGGCTTTCTCTGTTGCAGATCCACGACTGTGGAATGAGTTGCCACTGAGTGTCCGGCAGGCTCCCACACTCTCAGTCTTTAAGTCTCGCTTGAAGACCCACTTCTATTCTTTTGCCTTTAACACGTTGTGATTTGTTTTGGTCCGGTCTGTTCTCTACTCTGTTGGCCATTTTAGTTAGCTTCTGCTGCTATTTGTATCTGTATTTCTATTTTATGTTTTCCTGTCCGCTGTGCATGTTTGTTTTCTTTTGTACAGCACTTTGGTTGGCCTTGTTGCTGTTTTAAGTGCTCTATAAATAAATTGGTATGGTATGGTATGGTATGGTAACTTATTCTTTGTTTTTTTGTTTGTTTTTACCAGGAAGTCTTCAGATCTGGTATCACCTTCAGACGGACAGGAGTCCGGACATGTTCAGTCCGGTCCTGAGTGACCTGGCAGACGGACGTCTTCATCGGATCAGAATCCACAGAGTTGGCAAAAACGTTTATGTTCAGGTGAGCAGTCCGCAGCCAGAAACTGAAGAAATCTACAAAAGTTAAATCTAGTCCTCTGGACGAGTTAAAAAAAAAAAAAAAACTAAAAAATGTAGATACGTTTCATTTTTCATCCGAAAGACTTCCTCAGTCTGAGGTGCTGTATTCAGCTCAGTCTCTTAAATAGCACCTTCTCAGAGTGGATCAACCAGTTTGCTGCTGACAACCAGAACCAGCTGATCACATGCTCAAGAAGGACCATCAGCCTAACGATGGATCATTAGCACACTGATGACTGTTTACTATTCACAGGAGAATGAGTGATACTAGGAATAACAGCATTGTAAGAGGGGGACAGTTGAACATGGAGGCTCCACCCCTGTTTAATGATGGATGGTTTCTTTTCACAAAGATGGCCTCCTTTACTCCTCTCTCAAACCATCGTTCCTCTCTGTCCAGGATGTGAACATCTTCATCCCTGAAAGAGTGACCTCTGACCTGGAGATGAGTGTAGACTGCACAGATCTTCTGTGCTGGTCCATCCTTTTGGCCAGTGGCTGTTTAGTTTTACCGATGTAAGACTGATCACCCTCCTGACACTGAACAGAATACACAATATTACTCTGTTTGTGCCGGGGGACTAGATCTTTGGGATGAAACAGTCTTTAATATATTTTGCGGTTTAAAAGCCACTGGGACGTTATGTTTAGAAAATAAACGTCTCAGTTTCTCTGATACTCCCTCAACATACGGAATGACCACTGGTCTGGGTCTGGGTTCCTCCTTTTCACCTGATGGCTGACTGGAGTCTTGTTTGGGTTTCTTCTCTGCTTTCAGAAAGGCCCAGTTAGGATATCCACATTGCTCTAGAGCCTGTCTCGTGTGGAATTTCTCCTTCTGCCTGGCTGCTGAGTTAGTGGGGACACTGTCTGCTCCGTGGTACAGAGTCCTAACTTGTGCTCCAAAGGGTGATGGGAGTCAAACAAACTGCAAATACTGGTCTGTGTGGGTTTGTGGTACACCTCGGTTTGCAAATGTCCTCTATCAGAGACTGAGACCTCACAGTCCAAGAAAGCCATCCTGCCATTTTTTACATCTTCTCGTGTCTTCCTCTTTTTCTTCTTTTTTCGGCTTTTTCCTCTTCAGGGGTCGTCAGAGTGAGTCATCCTCCTCCATCTCACTCTGTCCTCTGCATCTTCTGTCCTCACTCCAACTACCTCCATGTCCTCTCTAACTGCATCCATATATCTCCACTTTGGTCTTTTTCCTGCAGCTGCATTTCTAACATCCTTCTATCATTATACCCACTGTCCCTCCTCTGAATATGTCCAAACCACTGTCCCTCCTCTGGACATGTCTAACCCACTGTCCCTCCTCTGGACATGTCCAAACCATCTCAGTGTGTCCTCTTTAACTTTATCTCCCAGTTGTTCAACCTGTGCTGTACCTCTGATGATCTCATTCCTAATCTTCTCCATCCTTGTCACTCCTAAGGAGAACCTCAACATCTTAATTTCTGCCACTTCCAGTGTTCTCCTGTCTTTTTGTCTCTGTCTCCAGACCATACAACATATCTGGTCTCACTACGGTCTTCTAAACTTTTCCTTTGACCTTTGCTGACACCCTTTTGTCACAAATCACTCCTGAAACTTTTCTCCATCACTCCATCCTGCCTGGTCTCTCTTCTTCACTTCTTTACCACACTCCCCATTTTCCTGGACAGTGGACCCCAAGTCCTTGCAGTCCTGCACCTTTGTGACCTCTGCTCCTTGTAGCCTCAGTGTTCCACCTCCTCCCTCTCATTCACACACACGTACTCTGTCTTACTATGGCTGACTTTCATTCCTCTTCTTTCAAGTGCATACCTCCACCTTTGCAAGTTCTCTTCCACCTGTTCCCTGTTCTCACCACAGATTACAATGTCATCTGCAAACATCATAGTCTACGGGGATTCCTCCCTGACCTCATCTGTTAGTTGCTCCATCACCAAAGCAAAGAAGAAGGGGCTCAGAGCCGATCCTTGATGCACTCCCACCTCCACCTTGAAGCTGTCTGTCACTCCTACAGCACATCTCACCACTGTCATGCTGTCCTCATACATGTCCTCATGTCCTCATACATGTCCTGCTGTCCTCATACATGTCCTGTACTAGTCTAACATACTTCTCTGTCACTCCAGATTTCCTCATGCAATACCACACCTCCTCCCTCATCAATTTGTCATTTGCTTTTTCTAAATCCACAGACACAATGGAGTTCTTTCTGACCCTCTCTGTACTTCTCCATCAGCATCCTCAATGCAAAGATCAGAGTCAGAGTCAGAGTCAGAGTTTCTTTATTGTCATTCGCACCTCATGTGGTACATGTGGTGGAGCGAAATTATGTACACGGGGTCCCAGTTACATCCAACAATAAAATGTATAAGAAAAACAGTAATAACATCTAAGATATGAACTAAGAAAAACATCAACTAAATATACACTAAGCACTCATAACATAAAACATTGAACATCAGCACAAACATGAACATGAGTCTGTGAGCAGATGTGCACGCATGAACACATCAACATTGAAACAGATCAGCAGCAACGTGAAACAGATCAGCAGCAACATGATATGGTTTTACACAGTGATTATTCTAGTTAGAGATTCATGAGTCTAACAGCCTCAGGGTAGAAGCTGTTCCTCAGTCTAGTGGTTCTACACTTAATGCTCCTTAACCTCCTTCCTGAGGGGAGTGGGGCAAAAAGTGTGTGTGCTGGGTGGGTGGGGTCCTTCATGATGCAGGTGGCCCTCTTCCTGCATCTGGAGGTGTAGATGTCTGTGATGGTGGGGAGACTGATTCCAACAGATTTCTGTGCAGCCTTCACTGAAAGATGGATCTGTGGTGCACTTTCTTGGCATGAAACCATACTGCTGCTCACAGATAGTCACCTCTTGTCTAAGTCTTGCTTCCACTACTCTCTCCTAAATCTTCATCGTGTGGCTCATCAACTTAATTCCCCTGTAGTTGCTACAACTCTGTACATCACCCTTGTTCTTAAAAATGGCCACCAGCACACTTCTTCTCCATTCCTCAGGCATTTTCTCACCCTCAAATATGCCATTGAATATTTGAGTAAAAAACGTCACTGCCATCTCTCCAAGACATTTCCAAACCTCCACTGGTATGTCATCAGGACCTACTGCCTTCCCCATCTTCATTCTTCAGCTTCCTGCACTTCACTATTCCACCACCAGGTTTCCTTATCATCCATTCTCTATCCATTCAATGAGGTCTGGCCACGCTCTCCCCTGCCACAACCTTACAGTCTCCAATCTCCTTCAGGTTTCCTCTTCTACACAGAAGAATCTACATAGAATAGTAGTCGACCAGCGTACTCCTTCCTCCACTCTTATAGGTCACTCTATGTTCCTCCCTCTTTTGGAAATAGGTGTCAAATACAGCCATTTCCGTTCTCTTGGTAAAATCCACCAAAGTGTTCTGTTAGGAAAATATGGAACAATCCATCCATTATCTTTACCCGTTTATTCAATTTTTGGGTCATGGGGGTCGCCGGTGCCCATGTCCAGCAATCACTGTGCGAGGGGCGGGGTACACCCTGGACAGGTCGCAAGTCCATCACAGGGACACATAGAGACAAACAATCATTCACTCTCTCACTCACACCTAGGGACAATTTAGAGTTACCAATCAGCCTAACATGCATGTTTTTGGTCTGTGGGAGGAAACCGGAGTACCCGGAGAAAACCCACGCATGCACGGAGAGAACATGCAAACTCCACCCAGAAAGGCCCCTGGACCGGGGATTGAACCAGGGACCTGCTCACTGAGAGGCAGCAGCTCTACCAGTTGCACCACCGTGCTGCCTGTATCTTAAACTTTTCCACCCAAATTCCCTCCATCTTAGTGAGCTGCTACATTTCCAGTGATACTCCCAGATTGTTCTCCACCCTTCTGTTATATCTATTTCTCCCTCTATTCCCCACTTCGTTTTGATGTATAAAGTTGATTGTGCTTTCATGTTTGAGTCCTTTATACAGACCTGAGTTAATGCCTCTGTTTGAGTCATATCCTCTTTAAACTGGTCCAACAGCTGTTTGCTCAATTTTATTTGTTTTATTTTATCACTGAAAAAATGTCTTGAATAAGTATTTCAGTGTAGTTTGGCTTGGCTTCGTCTCCAGAGATCGTGAAGGCTTCTGGAAGAAGGTGTGTTGAAATCAATCTGCTGGTGGTTCATGCAGTGTAGGGGCTTATCGTTCCACGATGGCTCCTCTCGTTCTTTTTCCACATTGGGTTTCTGCTGCTGCCTGAAATATTCACTCATCAGTTCATTATTGAGGGCTTTCCTCCTGAAGTCCTCCAGGATCTTAGTTGTTTCATCCTGTATAGTGGCTCAGACGCTCACTAGTCCTCTGCCTCCCTCCTTTCTCTTAGTGTATAGAGTAGTGTCAGGGTGCTGGACTTGGGTTCAAACCTTCATTGCATTGTGAGGAACTTTTGAGTCTTGATGTCAGAGGCTTCTAGTTCCTCCTTTAGCCAGGCCATGATATTGAGCTAATATCTGGTGTGTTAGGAGCTGAGAGTTCTCCCAGCCTTGCACTATGAGTGACTCAACATCATCGCCACACCCAATCAACTTTTACCAAAACAAAAAAGGCTGTAATACTGTTGAACCATTTAGCTGCTGATGTTAAGGCTAATTTCAGCACATATCAGTTCTACGTATCCTCCATGTTCACCTTTTTAACAATAAAAATCTGCCAGCCCTACACAACATCTATAGTTCGAGGCCTTTGTCTTTAGTTTCAACTTGTTTTTGCTTCTGTCTCTTTCAGCTGCGCAGCCACTGGCTAACGTTGCTGCCCAGTTCATATCTGACCCAGACAACACCGACACATTTATCCTGAATTATTAATTCATCAGTTTACCAGCGAATGCTGAGGAAATTTTCTTTATAGCAGTTATCCAGATTGTTTTACCTCCCATCCTTGTGACAAGTGCACTACAGAGGGATGACAAGATAAGCCACTGAAGGTCAGCTAAAGGTTTTCAGGGGGTG